TCATCTGCTACCATGCAGCCCCATCAGCAAACTTTACTATGCTTTTCTGAAGTGTTTTATAGTCGTCTTATATCTTAACAAAATAATTTTATGCTTTTTAATATATTTATTTCTCTCATGTTTCCTGGATTTTTTTTTCTAAATTGGTAACACATCCCAAGTTTATGTTAGCAGCGTATTGCTTTAGCTGAGTGGAGTCCTCTTTGGTTTGGAGAGTAGTTTTCAAATTATGGAACAGTTTTCAAATTATGGAACAAGACAGTTTTCAAATTATGGAACAAGATTGGCCTCTGTGATCAGGTTCTTATACTGCTTGCAGGTTAGTGCTTTGCTACCAGCTCAGTCACACATCTTGGTCTCTTTGGTTGGTTTCTTACAATTCTTGTGCTAAACTTGCTAGTTTCATAAGCCGCAATTGCACACACAGAGCTTTATCAAGTGCCTTATTCAATTACAGATAATGTAATTGAAAGTAATTTGCTGTCATCTTTGAATAATTATATTGGCTCTTTCCTGTATATGTCCTTTAGACACAATATGTCTAAAGCCTCAGTAAAACATTCACTCTGGAAATGTCCATACTATTCCTGTGTTGATTTCGGAGGGTCTTGGTGGTCACCAAGCCTTTATTTATAATTCCCACTTCTTGTTACACTCATGCGCTTCGGGCATTTTGCATCCACCAGGACTTCACAGTCTTACTAGAACTTTTGCTTTCAAAAGATTGTTCCCTATTCTGGTACCCTATAGTATTTCTTTCTAGCTAATATTTAGGACTGGAAATATCTCTTACTCGTGGAATCCAGAGTGCTGTTACTACAATGAATCTCATCATGTACAACTTTTTTTGTAATTTACCAGCTTAACGTATTTAAAAATCTTGTGGGCAAGTAACTGTTGGAAGGCTGTTCAAGAACCTTCCTCAGGTTTCTAGACTAAAGCTATCTGTGACCAATCTGCTGATCCAAGAAGAAATGATCAGGCTTCCCAGCTCTTCTCTGTAAATAATGGTGTCTTACAGATATATAACTGTATTTGGCTCTTTGAAAAGACGATGTGCCCAGTGAATAGCGCAGTTTGATAGATGCATTCCCTGTTGCATTGTATGGCTACTCTCTTATATTTTTTTACTTCTATATTCATTGGTGTTAATGACTTCCACAGAGTGCCTCTTACTTAAAGGATGTTGGATAAAATGACATTTCTGTTGATGTATTCAGAGCCCCTCTTGAGAAAAAATACAAGTATTCTCCTATTTTACATAATTTAAATACATTTATTGTACATTTTACTTGTAATATATAATATCTATTCCTAGTTGAATAGTATTAAAAATAACTGTGCAATTTAGTCTGTTACATGTGTGGAATAATAGAAAAACGTGAATTGAAAGATCACTATGGATGTCACTCCTGCTCAAAGCAGGTTTAAATAACACACTAGGATGCTCAGCGCATTGTCTGGTTGGACTTTGGATATCTCCTAGGATGGACATCTCAGAACATCCTTTGGGAACCTGTTCCAATTTTGACTACCAAAGAAAAGCAACAGCAACAATAACCTTGCATACACTCAACTGATTGCTTCTATTGCAGCTTATTTCTCTTGTCTCTCATGCTATTACTGTACCCTTCCAGGAAGAGTCTACTTCAGTCTTCTCTTCACTGTCCCATTGGGTGACTGGCCACAGCAAAAGATCTTGCCCTTCTCACAGGTGAACAAATCCATCCCTCATAGTCTCTCCTGGTACATCGTGTGCTCCAGCTCCCAGTTATCTTGGTGGTCCTCTGCTGCCCTAATTTCCATTATGTCACTGTCTTTCTGGACCCAGGGAAGGCCTAGACTCAACCCAGAGTCCAGATGGACAGTTCCAATTATCCATATAATTTCATGACTGAAACAGAAAATAGGTTTATTAAAATGAAAGAAGATTCTTGTCATGTCCTTTGCTAAACATTGAAGTAAGACTTAACATGCATATTTCAGAACCTAAGGTGTTCACATGCTGCTATTAGGTGCTTTTCGTAGGTTCTTGAAGATGGCTAAAGGTCACAAAGGAGAAGTCAAGTCTTGAAATACTTTGTCAGTGCTTGGTGTGCGTGTGTTCACAACTTTTTAGAAAAAGAGATGAAACTTATATGTAGCTATGAACCTTTAAGATAGGGCAAACCACGCAGCAAGAAGGAATTATGAAAGCTGACCGGATCCTTATCACACAACCATCAAGACAGCTAATGTTCATTTAGCTATGAAGAAAACTGAAAAATAAGCTATCTTTTTGAGATAAGACATACCATACAAAAAAAAAAAAAAAAAAACCCTTCATCATGATAGTTCTCCTCTTTAAACATCTCTCAAGGAGAGACTGGGAAACAATATGAGATCTGCTACGTGGCCATAACACAAACCTACAGAAGAATACAAGCATAAGCAAGTATATGCAATACTTCTCCCAAGTACTCTGCTAACCAGCAGCCCTTCTTTGCAGTTCAGGGATTTACATGCAGCTTTGTCTTTGTTAGTTAATTTTAAAATAATTAGCTTTCTTAAATGTGGTTTACTGTCCAGTTTATAGTGGCAATTGTTGTGGCAATAGAAAATGCCCTGTCACTCTCACATGATAGGAGAGAACTTTCTCATTGTTAAGTTCAGAATAGAAACATTTCTTCAAGATCACTGCTGTTTTTATGTTTTTACTAGAAATTAATTCCTGGAACCAATTGGATCCCAGCTGCCAACTTCTTGTGCCTAGGAGTTTATGAGCTGACTGAATGTGATGTGATTTAAATGGAAATGGCTGAAATGATGCTCTGGGGGTCCTGCATTTTTAAATGAGAGTAGTACAACCTGATTGATTCATTCTGTTGAAGGAAAAGAAGAATCTTCTGTGTCCTGTGGGACAGGATGGGTGCAGTGTAGTACTCTGTTGGATCCAAAGACTTGCACTTGCTATGCAGTGGAAGTATTCCTGAGCTCACTCTATTCTGCAACTGTCTAGCAACATTTTTTGGGATTCTCAGGGCAATGCTTGATCTTTGTGCTTTCCTCTAAAATGTTAATATTCTTTTATTCTGCTAGAACCAAGACTTTGATGAAGAATACAAGTAGTTAAGAATAATAGTTTAGCTAAAGCAGCACATTTTCATGAGACAAAATCCAAGCATTTATTTGGCTTCCTGATTTCTGTTTCCCTAGAGTGTCAGTCCTACTGCAAATAGTGCAAGTGTTCTAGCATGTCAAAATGAATAAATAAGATTTAACAAGATACTAATTTGATATTAATATCTAATATTTGATATTATTAGATATTAATTTGATATTCTTGATCAGTCTAAATACATAAGTGACTGATTATTCTTTTTCAGCCTTAGGAAAAAAAGAAAAGAAATGAATGAGAGAAAACTGTAGGTGTATGAGTTGTGCAGAGAAGGTAAATAGGGAATGACTCTCTCTAGCTGTACAGATGGGAGATGTAAACTGATGGCAGGTTCAAAACAAACAAAAGGAGTTACTGCTTCACACTGCCTGCTGAGACTCTGGAATACAGTGCCAAATGCAGAGGTACAGTACTAGGATAGATGTATTGTTGAATTACCTACTATGGTAGTTCTTATATTTTTTGTGGTACACAGCACAGCTGGTAGATGGGCAGGATATAATAGCAAACCAAGATGATTTTACTAGGGTCCCCTTGAGCTCCCTACCAATTTATATACAGAGCAACAGCTGAGATGAACAGATGTGGTCAGCTGTGGTCATTGTAGTGTATAGCCTCCTGTACTGCAACATCAGGTGTCAGGTGGCCATGAGTCAGCAACAAGAAACAAATAGTGTTAGTGGCTCTTTCTACAACAAAAAGTGACGAATCTTGATCTACAACTGACTAGTTTTTGAGAAGATCAGAGCTTTCTTCTGTAAAGTGTAAGAGATTGATACAAAATGTATGCACGGTGCTAAAATGGTACCTACACTAGAGAATCTGACTTGTCTCGGCCTCTTCCTCTTTGCTCAGTCTCTCACACATCTGTTTGTGTCTTTTGAATTCAAACTGTATATCTCTGACTCTAAGGCAAAACTGGAATGCCAGCCAGCTTTGAATTGTTACAGAGCAGATATCTTCTAACAGTTAGGTGTTTTTTAGTCATATAGGTGAAAGCTAGAGTGATTATCTTAAAAACAGCATACAAGGAGACCAGTAGATTGTTTATAATTTCTTATAATTCCTTTTATGGTTTGCCTGTGTGATTTATTCCCAGCTGTGGACTGACTTTTCTGGCATAAGGGATTATTGCCCATAACTCAGCTCAGATTTTTAGGTTGTCTTCTTTACTTCTGTCTCTTTCATTCTCCTAATATATTTCCTGTCACCTCCTCTGCAAGCTTCTCTGGCATAGAAGAAATAAGAAAGGGATTTGTTAATAAAGATAGACCGGCTAATATTTTAAAATACCAATCATCAACCAAAATACAAATCATAAGCTGACAATTCTTAGTTGATCATGTTGAAACTTATTCATGAAGGTAAGGAGTTTACCTTAGCCAAGATGTATTAACAGAAGTTGCTTTCTTAAACTGCAGTTTTGGCTCAAGATAGGTAGCATTTGTTTAAAAAAACAAAAAAGCAACACTCACTCTAGAGAGAAACAGTCTTTTTTTAGATTAAATAGAACAACTGTAAAATACTTCACATTGCCATAAACAGTAAACAAAACAGCCATAAACAGCTCCCAAGCTGCTAAATCTCCCTTGAGAAGATCAACAGTGATCCAGGGTTTGTGAATCCGCCTGGCATCTCCCAGAGTTCATTAGCTTGAATTCTGTACTCCAGCTTTTCAGTCATATGATTGTACTGTGTCACTGAGAGCCACCCCAGGAGTTAGGAAATAAAGTCTTAGGGGTAGCTCTTCAGTCTAAGAGCTGGGCAGGTGTCAGTACTATTGTTTCAGAACATGGTTGATGCTTTGCTTCCAGTGCGTGGATATTCCTTGCTTCCTTCTCAGATCCGGGAGCTGGTTCCTGAGTCCCAGGCCTACATGGATCTGTTGGCTTTTGAACGCAAACTAGACCAGACGATTATGCGGAAGCGTGTGGATATTCAGGAAGCACTGAAGAGGCCAATGAAGGTATGTCATGAAAAATCTGTAGGTTGAATTGGAAGAAACAAACAAACAAAAGCATAAATGCTCTCTGGGGAACCCGGGAAGTTCTGTTGACAGATACATTTTGAAGCAGACAGACAAAGCTCCTATAACTAAGCACCTGGGAAACAGCATGTTTGGAAGGGTGGTGGAAAACTTCAGTGGATATTAATAGCTCTTGCTTCAGAAAGCCTTTAATAAAGGTGAAAATAGCTTCTGGATTTATAAATACTGTTTCTGGTTTTTTTTTTTTTTTGTATTAGAATGATTAGAAAAATAGGAAATTAGAGAGGTTTAGTGAAGATATGCTAAATTCCCTATTAGCATTCAATTATAGGCTAAACTCTTGAGATAATAAAGCATATAATGGGAAGAATTACTTACAGAAAAATTGTTAAAGAGTCTGCGAAAATACACACATTTTCATACTCTATAAAAGGGCAATTCATGTAGGAAAAAGATGAGTGGCATTTTCTGCGATATCTGTTATATCGTGTACAGCATTTCCCTGTTCATTATATCCTACTGAAATGATGTTTTCCTCAGTTTTCCAAGTCTACTTCATTGAAACATAGAAGAGTTTTAGTTGGAAGATTTGGAAGTTATCTTTGTCAGTCTCCTGCTCAGAACACACTTGTTCAAGCTCTTGTTGAGCTTTAAAAATGGTTAAGGATGGAGGTTGTACCGCTTCTCTAGGTAACCTCTTCCAGTGTTTGGCCACTCTCATTGTTAAGAATTTTCTTCTTACATCCTGTTTAACAGTTCTTGTGACTATGTTGATTGTCATACCCATTCGTATAGCAAACCCTGTAGTAGGAGTTTGGTAGCAGTATGCATGCTGTGAACTAAAGCTGTCATTCTTGTTTGTATCATAGCAGTAGATATAAGCCCTACTAAGGTCAAAATTTCCCTGTCAATGTCTAGGAGTCTCACCAGATGAGTTTTTTGTTTTGATTTGTTTTGTTTTGTTCCTAGTGTTTTTCCACTCAAAATAGATGAACCAATTTGACAGATAGGAAACTGAAATGTGGATGGTTTAAATGACAACTTAATAGTCCAGTGTTGTCACATATAGTAGATGGGCCTCTCAGCATGTGTAATTTGTCTTAGCTTCTGAATGTGGGTAGAACAGCATTATTTTATACCAGTTAGGAACTTGACCATGTTTGAAACTAACTGAAAGCATAGACTTGCATTCATAAATCTGCAGGAAGATGACTGTTCTCTGAGAAACTCCTCAACCGTGGAATTGAGCAATGTATGAGCACCCAGCTGTTAGCTGTACAGTGGAGATTACTAGGGTCTGTAAGGGGGAAAATAACATGAGACAAAACATTCTACAAAAGACATAACCAGATAATTCTGGCTATTTCCATCTAGATGTCAGCAAATACAGTTTAAATATCAATTACTCAGCTACTTAACATCTAAATCTGTTTCTAAAAATGATGAATGTATATTTGTCATATTCGTGTCTAGAAAGCAGACGCAGCAGTTGTGAAATTCAAGATATGCCACAATAGACCTCTGCCTTGATAAATTTGCTTGTTCTGATAGTACATATTTTCATCCTGTTTTAGTTGGAGTACTGGTAACAACAGTGAAGGTTATCTCTGGATTACCATCTTAAAACTCCTACCAAAGCTCGTGTTACTTTGAAATAATTTTCCTTTCAGCAGTGATTCACAAACTGGTATTGTAATCCTGGGAAAGATTAAAACTTGTCCGAGGTATGTGATAATATGTATATCTGCTTGGAATTATAAGTTTCAATTGCAGTCATCATATTACAGTAACCAAGGAGAGTCTTCAGGAGCCACAGGCTTAGGGTCTGATATTGCTCAGGCCTTTCTTTCTGTCTGAAGGATTAATTATTCTTGAGAAATTTTAGGGGAGATTGGCTTAACCATTTTTTTTAATGAAGGACAATGCATAAAATACATTAGGCCTATTGATATTGCTTTAGTCTGCTATGAACAGCTGTGCTGCTGAAACATATGACAGCTGCAGGATTGCTCAGAAAGCAAGGAGGAGACCTTGGATTCTTGGAGGTTGGTGGGGTTGGAGAGCAGACAGCCTTCACCACCTGCCAGCTCATTTTACCACTGTCAGCAACCCCTGTCAGCTGCCAACTTTTCCAGTACAGACCATGCCTTGTCTTTTTTCTATCTGTTAGGTACTGGTGTGTTCTCTCCTTTTCCTTTAGCCTACATTCTTAGATAACATTCTTCAAATGATTCTAAGAATTTCTCATCTGCAGGCCAGCATTAACTACATATAACTTACGAGAAATCCTGCACCGCTTTTGTAAGAGAGTCACCCATTCTTGTCCACAGATAGGACTTAAAGAGAAAATTAGGCATGCAGTACCATTTGAGCTTTGAACTGCAGTGGGCCTGAATGTACAGATCAACCAAGGTCTGTGACCTGAAGGAAACCAAAACCATATGGCTCAACTCCAGACCTGGAGGTGTCATTAAGGGAGACTGAGTTAATGAAAATCCAAACAGCGAGGATCAAGGTGGAACTTGAGGGTGGGATTTAGTTAGCTAAGAATAGACACATACATTGTAGATATTTTTATTTCAACTACTTCAAGCACGGTAGTGGTGAGTAAAACATTTTATTCATTCCTTGCAGAATATTATAGAGTAAGAAGAGACTTCATGGTCTGAATACGGGTGGTTAAACTCCAGCCAGTATCAGCCTTGCATTCTTCTTCCTTGAGCTCTGCCTAGACCACTGTATGATCTTTGGGCTGACATGTTGCAAGACATTATATCCTTACTAAAGTATTGAAATTGTTATCACTAGGTAGGTACGTTTCAGGAAGATTCAGACTATCCCCTTGGACCTCTGCTTATGCCTTGCTTAATCAGGTGAGACAGCGGTGTCTCACTGGCAATAGGAAGAAAGTCCCAGCAGAGGAGAAGGAGCCTGTTGAGCCAGAGAAGACACTCATTTGTAAGGCTAAGGCTCTGATCCGTGTTTTGTTAGAGATTTCTAAGTGTATTTTTTGGAGTGCCACTGCTCAAAGGGGATTTCTTGAGATGAGCTGTTTTCAGGTAAATTTTGTATAGTAATTCTAGTAATGCTAACTATATATAAGGAAGAGATCGTAGCAGTATTTCCTGGGAAGGACAAGAGGAAGGGGAAGATGCAGTAGCAGCTACTACAAGGACGAACAGCAGGACATGGTGGCAGCAGACTCAGGAAGGTGTGTGTGCAGGCCGGAACATTTCCAGGTCAATACAGTACTGCACAAAGGAGGACATGTTTGCTCTTCATGCAATGTTCATTGCCCAAACACCTTGTTCACTTATTCTTTAGACTGTTTACCAGTGTGTCCATGAGACAGATCTGGCTGCACGCTGCAGTTCAGATCTATAGCTACTGATTATGACAGCTGGGACGTATTTTCAGTTTACTCTGTTATATTGGTTTCCTTTTAAAAGCAGTGACTTGGCCATAGAAGGGAAGGCAAGTATATCTATATTAAATGAAAAACTACTTTAGCAAGAAAAATCCTGTAAGAAAGATTACAGAAAGAATATGTTTTTCCAGGAATATTTTTCTTACCAATCTTTCTGGTCTTATCTGTGTCAGTCTTTCACTTTCTTGACCTCTGGTACTTCTGAAAATCCCTGTTCCTTCTGACCGCATACTGTTGGCATTCTTACATCTAAATTTTCCATGGTTATCTTCTTCAGACTGTGCAAAAGTAAAGTCATTTTCTTGTTCCACTTAGCCCATGCTTTCCTAACTCCCATGCTCCTCTATTTCATGCCAAGGCAAATTTTTAGATTCTTGCCCTCATATCTGTAAGTGTGTCTTGCTTGCCCTCATATGTATAACTGTATCTTGTTCTGTAGACTTTCTTCTCTCCCAAACCTGTGTGTGTATATCTGATGCTGATAAATATATCTATGTCAGCTTTACAAGATTACTATTGCTTTCTTGTGTTAGGTGAATACTGTTCTGAATGTATGAAATTGACATCTTTAATGTTTTTGTCATTATGTCATAGATAGATATGTTGGATTGGATTGCCAAGGAAGTATTTGGCAATCTTCCTGCCACCTTTGGGAATCCATACATCTGAGTTAATGTCCAAGTTTTCCACATGTACGTGAAAGGGAAGAGGACTGAGGAATAAAATATCCATAAGCCAGTACACTGAGCGAGGAAGTTTCTTAGCTGGCCTATAAAATGGCAGCAGGTGTTTTTTATGTTATTTCTCAGGGACTTGGGCACCAGATTTGAGGATGAGTCACAGTGTCTTCTTCCCCTTAGCTCCCACAGCAAATTGGAGCTGCAAGTGGGACAACCATCATGTTTAAATAGAATAAAAGTGAATTAAATGAGAAGGTCAGGTGATGCGTGAATATGTAGGAAGACCATTGCCAGGCTCTACGTGATGGTATAATGAAGATGTGCAGAGCTGTTCAGGGCATCTCGTTTGCAGCATCAACTGTGTTTATGAATGCCACATACAAATCTGAACTGATACAACCGTGAAAGACATTCATGCAGCAAGAAGTTTGCTGGTGAATCTTGGCCATCTCACTAGTATGTAGACAGAAAGGGCACAATGTGTTGCTTTTCCTACAATAACTTCTCAAAAATCTGAAAAAGTAGAGGGTGTATAGCTTCATACCCTGCAACCTCTGTATCTCTGCACTTACAGCAAATTGTTTGCATCTCTAGAGGTTTTGAAAGTGAGTTTTCACTCTTCAGTGAGTTTTCTTATACATACACAAATACTGAGTTGCAGTATGATCTGGTCCAACTATACTAAACTTGCAGGTTTTCTACTAAACATCCAGAGTACCCAAATATCACCTTTATTGTGGCTGCTTAAGGACCTGGGCTTGCACCTGATTTATAATTTTCCCTTTTTTTCCTATTTGTTTAACAGCAAAAGCGGAAACTGAGACTTTACATCTCCAACACTTTTAATCCTGCAAAATCTGATGCGGATGACTCTGATGGCAGCATTGCATCGTGGGAGCTGCGAGTGGAGGGGAAGCTCCTGGATGATGTATGGTTTACCTGTGCTTCACTGGGGATGGCAAGGATCTAGAGACTGTCTTGTTGCATGGTACTTTGCTGAGGGCACCAACTCAGTAAAGGACATCTCTGAATGGCAGCGTTAGCTTGTTGCTACTTTGGGGAAGGCACTAGATCTTGCAGAAGGAATGAGACTAAGGCTGTAATGGGAATGGTGGGAGACAGCTAGGGAAGGCAGCAGGGTTAGGGCTAAGGCGGACTCTAGGAAGGAGCAGGATGGAGAGGATAGTGCTGAAACTATTAGTTTAAAGATAAGACAGGATTCCAGCTATGCAAGGTGTGATATATCAGGCACGTGACAAGCTTGCTTCCTATGAGGAACAGGGTAACAAAGTCAGGAGGGTAGTGCTGTTTCTGAGGGAGTGCAAGAGGATGTAGGATTTGTCAGAATAAGAATGGAATAAAAGTTTTGTCATCCTGAAGTTCTCAGAAGTCTCTCTGAGAGAGCTAGAATTCAGAAACAAATATGTCATTTACTTACAGAGCCTTCTCAAGATGAGCGCATAATAAGATAAACAGATGGCAAATGTTTATGTATGGAGGAAGAAAGGCTTTCAAGACATGTCTGTCTGTCTGGAGATACCTGTGCTTGTATCAAAATGATAGTTATGTGAGAAGATGGAAGGGTAACAAAGTGCAGCATCTAGAAGTTGAAGATAGTCAAACTCAAACTAGAAATTAGAACATATGCTTTAACAAAGGAAATATTTTTTGGAACAGCTTGCCAAAATTTAGGGTGGTTTCTGAGTTACTGGCAAATTCTAAATTGAAGGAGGATGTATTTCCAAAAGATCTTTGTGTCAAAGAGGAAGAAAGTCACTGAAATCCTGTATTCTGCAGAAAGTCAGATTACCTCATTATAGAACTTACAGTTTTTAATCTAGAAAATACAATCGGTATAGCAAATAGCAAATACTGATTATTAAATGGAAATGCAAAATGTATAAGAAAATACTTAGTGTATGATTAATTTATAAAATTTACTGCCACCTGATAGTTCTGACAAAGAAAAGTAAGAAAATACCATTAAATTAAAAGGAAAATGCCATTAAATTAAAAGACACACAGTGTTCTTGTTTAAGTCACAAGGTAGTCTTTTCTGATGAGATTATAGGAGTCAGGAAGATTTTTCCTTAAGTGCATACTGTTCCATGATTACCAAGATGTAATCTTGTATCTTTCTCTACTTTTGGCAACTACTAAGGTAAACTCATTTAGATTGATCACACATGTGGTGATGTGGTTGAAGGAGAAAGCCTGAGAAGGAGACACAAAACACGAGGTAATATGTGTAATCTTTAACATTTATTTCTTCTCTTTATACAGCTCAGTAAACAGAAGCGTAAGTTTTCCTCCTTTTTTAAGAGTTTGGTCATTGAACTGGACAAAGACCTTTATGGACCTGATAACCATCTTGTGGAGGTAGGATGTTAAATGCAACGTTTGCATACAAACCCAACATTAGCACAAATAAACAGTTAAGTACCCATTGTCTATCTTGTTTAAATTATCTTACATTCATTATCTCATTTAAGGTACAGAGTTTTCAAAATTGCAAAGTTCTAGTCTTTTTAAGAATGTTTAGTAACAGAGCCCATACAATATTAAAATATGTAGTAGAAAATAGTACAGGTTGATAACAGAATGTATGAAGTGATGAAAAATGTGTGGGCACTTTCTTGAGAAGTAATATCTGCTGACATCAGAACAGTTTTGCACTGAAGTAGATTGGCAAGGGGAGAGAAAAATTTTTAGGCTTGTTTGGTTTTCGGTAGCAAGATCTTCAAAAGACTTGTTACCTATCTTACTGGTTCATGGTGTACTGAACATAAGCTTTGATGGACATACAGTGACTTCCATATCAGAAAAACAAAACCGGGAGTAACCATCTTACTCTGTTTACCTTTGGCAGTGGCACAGAACTCCGACAACCCAGGAGACTGATGGCTTCCAGGTGAAAAGACCTGGGGATGTGAGTGTGCGATGCACATTACTACTCATGTTGGATTACCAGGTCAGTGCTCTGCTCTTGGCATGGAGAATTAGGACACAATTCTGGGCTCTTCAGTACAAGAGGAACATGGAACTTCTAGAGAGGGCCCTGCATAGAGTGACAAAGATGATTAAGGGACTGGAGCATCTATTTTATGAGGAAGGATTAAGCGAACTGGGCCTGTTTAGCCTGGAGAAGGGAAGATTGAGAGGGTATCAACAACTCAAGGGAGGTGATCGTGCCCCTCTACTCTGCTCTGGTATGGCCGCACCTGGAGTATTGGGTGCAGTTCGGGGCTCCCCAGGACAAGAGGGATGTGCAGCTTCCAGAGAGGGTCCAGCAGAGAGCAACAAAGATGATTAAGGGACTGGAATATCTCTTGCACATGGAAAGACTAAGTGAGCGGGGCCTGTTTAGCCTGAAGAAGAGATGGTTGAGAGGAGATCTGATCAATATGTATAAATATCTGAAGGGTGAATGTAGGGAGGAAGGGGCCAAAGTCTTCTCAGTGGTGGCCAATGACAGGACAAGGGGCAGTGGGTACAAGCTGAAACACAGGCAGTTCCATCTCCATATGGATGCCACCCTGTGCCATGTATTCTAGGTGTCCCTGCTGGAGCAGGGGGTTGGACTAGATGATCTTTAGAGATCCCTTCCAACCTCAACCATTCTGAGATTCTGAGATTCTGAGATTCTGTGATTCTATAATAGAGCAAATTCACCCTGTCACATACACCAGAAAACAACATACTTGGGCTCCGAATGTCACGTTTTGCAAAAAGGTTAGAACAATAGCAAATTAACTGACAGTTTAAAATATAAAGGGGACATCCAGTAGACTTTTGATATAGTCCAACAGATATTTTTTCTTGGCACTGTGATAACTAATATTTTTATACTTGCAAGAAGTACATACTGTTTATTAGTAAAATAATTTGATAAAGTAATAAATTCCTAAATAAATAAATTGAAAATTTAGATGTGGTAAAGACTGAAAAGATTATTTATAGCAAATTATCTCTTACTCATTCGCAACAATAATTGCTTTATTGTGAGCACTGTACAGCATTCCTGCTAATGGTAAAAGATCAAGATTGCACATGCAGGGTAAGGAACTGCATCTTAAATTGTAGTATGGCATCAAAACTCAAGATCTTGAACTACTTACAGAACATTCAGATAAGAAATGAGTTCTGTGTGAGGTGCCTCTTGGTACAGGTGAAAGGGGGGCCACACTGCCTAGTGGTGTAGAGCTGTGGCAGACTTTTTTTCATGGTAGATGGCGCAGCTTTCCTGAGGTAAGTTTGGGTTACACTGTCACTTGAATCTTGGATAAGGCAACATTGGCCCTGCAAAGGAAAGGCTTGTCATTACTCTTCTTGCTAGGCATTGCTGCTGCTTCTCTTTTGCTCAAACAAGATTTTATTCTGCGAGTCATGTTTGTGGGCTGAACATGCATACAAGCCATAAATCTGATCCATATGAAAGCTAATGAAACTTTCTCCTAAGTCAGTTCCCTGACCCCAGTCACAGCAAACAGACAGACGAAAACAAAACCAAAAAAAATCCAAAAAAACAGACAAACAAATAACCCCCCCCCACACACAATTCCAGTTAGCAAAATTAGGTCATTCTGCCTTGGCACAGAAGAAGAAAGGGCACAGTTTCAGACTGTCCTCCCTACTACTTAAAATCAGTGTGTGTGTTGAGCGAAAAAAGAAGAATTCCCCTTACTGTGCATGCAACCTGTTATTATCTGAGACATGTAAGGCAAGGAGTTAGGCACAGCTCAACTCCCTGCATTGAGTGGAACTCCATGATTACCGACAGCGTAATTGAGGTGCAAGCACTATTGTGTGAGTGGTCGCAGTACCAGCAGACCAGCTTCATAGAGCAGAAACACCTACCAACACACACACAGAGCAAAGACCTTCTTTGTAGATAGTCTCAGCAGGCAGTAGTGGTGGTTTCTTGCATCTGCCAGGTCTTCCTGTCTAAGCTCTTACTACAGAGAGGCTGCAGAGAGTTCTCAATTACCAAGATTCTACAGAGTTTAGGGAGCCAGAAATTTAAAACCTATGCAACTTGGAGGCAGTTCTACTAGGCAATAGTAGTATCCTTTCTTTAGCCATGCCTTAGTCTAAAACCTTCTAATACCTATACTAATCCATGCCAAAATCATGTTTTCACTAGAAACAGTTCAAGTTTAGTTGAAACCTTGTGCTTAAATGCATAGCCTGATGATCAAGACTTTGGTTGGAAGCAGTGATATAAAGTGTTTCATCATTGGGTCTGGGATTCAGGAATCCTGGGGTTAATCTTTTCATACAGATATACATGTATTTTACCTTTCATTAGACTCAGGCACTTTGGACACAATACTGTCTCATTGTTCAGTGTTTTGAAGACAGATATCCTAGTTCTTATAGTGGACCACAGATGCTAGCTAAATGAAAATAAATTATGAGAAAGTGAGTGTTAGCTCCATCAATTTACTGAATTCAAGTAAAGATGGATGGTCAGGATGGTCAGGAGCAGTCATGTAAGATAGATTGCAAGAAGCAGCATGAAGCATGATCTAAGAGCAGCTGATTCTCAAGCTGTAGCTATGGCTTTGAAACACTTTTTTTGTTTTAATTTCACAGTTTACCTAAAGGATTTCATCTGTAATTTATTGATTAGATTACATTGGTAGTTCATTTTACAAACAAAAGGCTACTAAACTTATATTCATTAATGAGTTTCACCAAACTTATAACTAAAGACAAGAAGATTGAATATGGGCCCAGGAAAACATTTTCCTTTATTTCACTGAGCAGAGAACAAATAGCATTAGTAGTGTTTAGAGAGATTTTCACTGACATCTGCTGAATCTCAGGGTTCCATGTACCAAGTATCATAACTTTTGCCATGTGGACAGAAAGTGAACTGACACTCATTAGAAATATGTCAAACAAGTCATGGTATCTCTTTGATAGCAATATACCAGGAACTGAATGAGCCACAGAGGTTCAGCTTTCTTCTCATCACAAGACATAGTTCTTCCAGAGCGTGATGGAGGAACACATCTGAGCAACTTGCATTTCTGTGAACTCTGCCATTGAATTGGATATTTTTTATGAGGGGCAAAGTCCCCAGCAAATTAAAAGCAAAGCTTTATACCTTTGCATCTGTCTGCTTTTCTCTCTGTCTCTTTCTCTTTCTGCCACAGCCTCCACAGTTTAAGTTGGATCCACGATTAGCCCGTTTGCTGGGAATACACACACAGACCCGATCAGCCATCATCCAGGCTCTCTGGCAGTACATCAAAACAAATAAGCTGCAAGACTCCCATGATAAGGAATACATTAACTGCGACAAATACTTCCAGCAGGTAACCTCTTTTCCAATGCAGTACCTCTTCACAGACCAAATGTAATATCTTTTCACAAATTCTGGAATAGCAAAAGTACTGAATTGTATTTCCTCTTAATAATCTGCAGTTTCTTCAATACAGAATAGCTTTCAGCAGACAGTATTGCTAACGTAACAGGTACCCTCACTGTGTGCCAGCATTGTCAAAAATGTATTTAGTTATTCATTGTTCCCACATAGGTTATGGCTTTTCCTGAAAGAAGGATGTTGTCACTGTCTTGAGTACTCCTTTTTTTTTTTTTTTGAGTATACCATTTTATACCAATATACATCAAGTAACGTGCTCATTCTGAATGGCATATCATACAGAGACATGCTTCCATTTTTCTTCCCTTCTCTTTTGACCATCTATGCAGAAAACATGGCACATTTAATTAGAAAGCCAAATTTTCCTAAATCTGTTTCAAATGATAAGTTATCCTCAATTATCTGCATAATATTTTGAAAGTGATACATTTAGATATTTTTCTTTCACAGTGGTATCTGGAATTAACCAAAGAGAACTCTCAAAGGCATCTCCGCCTTTTCTATTAATGGGATTACATTTGCTTTGTACAGATATTGTTATATGAGCTATCACAGTGTCCATGGGCTTGTTTTCTCTGCAGCATCAGCATAACAAATTTACTCTGAAAGTAGCTGAAGATACAATATTTGTGACATGCTCCTGCTTAGGGAAAATGCCAGCAGATATGATAAGTGAATGATGTTTCAGTGAGCATGGAACACGCATGTGCAGTAATTAGTGTGCTCTTGTTTTCTTTCCAGTAATTCATTTTCAGTTACTCATTTCTTCCTCCCTCCCCAACTCTCCAACTCACCAACACATTTTAAAGTTGAATAATGCTTGAAATTGCTGGGATTTTGTGCATTTGAGTAAAATAATCCTGAAATTTTGAGCATTTTTAGGAATATAGAGCCAAGTGATGTGGATTAAATAGTCTGTCCTCCTGCTTTCCTTTAGAACTACAGCATGTAATCCTTTTTATACATTGTGCAAATTTCATCATAAAACTTTTTTTTTTTTTTTTCAGAATCATTAGACTATTGCCTCTGATGCTTAGGTCATTTGATTTCCCTTCTAAATCTCTAGGCAACCTAGTTTTCTTTGTGTCAACCTGAAGAGTATGTGATTGGAGGAAGGGAGATGGAAAAAAAATACAAAAATCATGAGCAGAACAGAAAAGATAAACAGAGAGTGATTGTTTATTGCTTCCTTTAATTAAAAAAAAATAGAGATCATTATCTGCAACTGGCTTCAAATAAGGCGACCTGGCTTTAAGTTGCAAATTAAAAAACAATAAAGCATAGTTAAATTTGGAACTGCTTAGGATAGGACATCACAGATGGTAAAAAATTATACAGGTTTAAAAAGTGATAATACAAATTAATGGGAAACAAATTATTGTGCGATTGTAAATACAAGGTAATTGGAAGTCTTTGGAGGTTGGAAGAATTTTTTGGGGAAGGACCAGTATATGTTTCCCCTGTTCTTACATTCTTCCTCAAGCGTAGTGTATTGGATGAATCCTTTCTCTGACCCAGTACAGCAGGTCATACCTCACAAAAGTGCAGGACAGCCCTTTAATGTTTATGCTTCTGTGTATTTTCATTTTCTGTATAACATTACGAACTTGCTAGAATGAGAGCTTGCTGAAATTATCTTCTCTTCCTGTACCTCCTCATGGAGGTATTAGCTCATGAGTCTCCTTGGGATCACAGTATACAGCCTTCAGGAATATCAGCAGACCTAATAATTGCCCTAAGTCTTCTCCCCTTCAATGAGTCAGATGAGAGAGTTAAGAAGTAGTTGATGGCTTTTCTACAAGGCTGACTCTCAGTGCATATAGGAGCTGGCTAGGATGGGGTAGTTTCATAAAATGCAATGTTTGTGTAGATTTACAGTATTAAAGGCATTTATGATGCCTTTCTCCTTAGATCTCTGTCATGTTTTGTTCTGTTTTCACAAGGATGCTCTAAGACTGTTATATAGAGGATAAGAGAACTGGGATTCTAGTCTGGTGCTGCTTCTAGTTTGATGACATTTCTGAAGTGTGCAGACACTCTGTGTCTGTATACACAACTCCCAGAAAAGAAGTCACCGCCATAGCCGGAAATGCCTCAGTTCCTAAGAGAAGCAGAAGATAGCACATTGCCACTCTTAGCATTTCCTTATAAATACCTGCTTCCCATTTGATAAGCTAGCTTTTCTAGATCCTATGCTGATGTGCTTGCAGTTATACTGGATGGTACGGTGCAGTACAGTGTAAAACCCCCTTAATGAGGTACATCAGACACCAACATTACTATAGCCATATTAGCTTTAATAGGCACTGGGTGAAAGTTTAGATGGTGAATTTCACCTAAGTAGGTAGAGACAAGCACATGAGAAATGTTAGGAAAATTCCATCCAGCCTTTGTTTCCTGTGCAGTTCTATCTCTATTATGTGTCTCTCTTTGCTCTCTGTACAGTTCTAGTCTCTGTTAACAGTCTGAAATGAGAGTTGCCCCAGTGGCAACAGCAGAATTGGAGTTTGGTATGCAAAAGTTTTGAGCAGTAAGGCAACAGTTTTTACTATCAATTGTCTGAAATCACGTTTTTGGTAGTAAGTTGTAGACTCAGTAGATATCTATACTTCCTTGATGTTTAGAAACTAACTGGATGAATTCTTGGCTGGAGACAAGGCCAAGAAATGAGATAAGTGGATTTTAGAGTTAACTAAGAAGGATCTTTTACTATTTAGAAACACTGTTTATGTCTGTGGGCAGATTTGAAATTCACCATGTTACAAGAAAAAGCAAGAAAAAAGATCCAAATGTATTTAAGAAGCCACACCTGTCTTTCCCGTATTTCTACTACCAAATTTCCTCACTCTGCAAAATTATGAATTTCAGAAGATATTCTGTCTAAGGAACATTGGCCCCATAACAGAACAGATCTGATTTTTACATTGATTCTGTGATTTAATAGCCCATCCTTTTCCATGCTGCTTACATCCTTTACCTCTAGAGCTGCAAAGCACAATTCTGCTTATTGGTACAGTACTGCAAGTAGCATCCTTTCAGTTGATTGAAATTATTTTCCCTAGGACATATTTTCATTTTCTTCTGCAGAGACCTTAGCATTTTTACAAATTGCCTCCATGCAACAATATGCCTCCAGTATATTTTTAGATGTTAATATCAAGAAGGATCTTTTTTAATTTTAAATGAAATACCTTTAGAGAAAAGACTGTTCACCTGTTCGGAGTTCTGACACTCCCAGTAAGAATAAAAATGCTTTAATGATACTTCAGAAAGCTTCAGATGTAAAGAATTGTTCTAGGCTCATGGCAAACCATTTGAATTATTCACAGGAAAAAAAAATGCATTCTTTGATCCATTTCAAAAGATCTTTTTTTTTTTTTTCTGAGTCCAATTTAACTTTCAGAGTGTGATAAAGAAAGGCAAACCAATGAGATGGTGACAAGTGGAGGAGTGGATTGTGTCCGAGATGTTACTTAGGTTTTGGCTAAAAATAAATAAAACTGTTGAAATTCTCTTTTTTTGTTGTTTTTTTGTTGTTGTTGTTGTTTGTTTGTTTGTTTGTTTCTTTTCTTTCTTTAACATAAAATATTTTATGAATGAGGCCCAGATGAGTGTGGTGGCAGTTTGCAGGGACAGAAGTATCTATACTGTGTATAGAACAAGAACTAAAGAATGCTTTCAAAAACATTTTTCTTTTGAACCTTTGTTTTCTTACTTTCTTCTTTAATTGCAAGTGGTGTTTTGGACAGGGATAACATGCTTTATTGTGTTTCAGATCTTTGACTGTCCAAGGCTAAAGTTTTCTGAAATTCCCCAGAGACTCACGAACCTGTTGCTGCCACCAGACCCTATTGTGATAAACCACATTATCAGGTAAGCTGTGCAAACAGCTCAGAGCTGTCCTGTGCAAAACATTCGCTGTAAAAAATGCAGCAATAGGCGTAATAGTAGGGACCAGACTACAGCTTTTCTCATGACGAGTGCCCTGGACTTTGTAATAGGTTCCATCTCTCTCTTATTCTGGCCTATAAAACTCTGGATTCTTTTCACTGAAGTGGCACAGTTTCCAAAACAGAAGGCAAAATATCTTCTTTTTCTTCTTATCACTGCTAGAATAGCATTCAGAAGGTTGGTCAGGTTTCTTTCCTAAGGGAAGAGAAATGAGAATTTCAAACCAATTAGGGTTTGAAGATTGAAGTATCCTTGCTTCTCCTGGGCTTCAGAATATGAGGATAGGGCTTACCTGGGATAAAATGAGGCAAAGACTGTGCCGAGAACCTTGGTCCCTTATGTGCCTGTTGCCCCTGTACTACCTGGCCCGCTCAGCAGCAGGCCCAGGTTTTCCTTAGTCTGCCTTAGTCTATTAAATCTAGCCCCACCGAGTTAAATATAAATTCAGTGTAGGACAAACCAAAGAAAAATACTGGTATTTACCTTATTGAAGGTGAAAAACAATGTAATAATTGGTTTAAATGTATTAGAAGTACAGGTTATTATTGAGACTGACAAATTATAAACATTTTAAAAAACTATTCTGGGAAGATAATCAAGTATTTCAAGTCATGTAAGGAAATCAAAATTCATTCTTTTTGTCAGTCTTTACTTCAGAAATTAGAGAAGGTCCCATATATATTTTTTGGGGGAGGGAGCAGGAAGGGAGGAAACAAAGGGAAAATGTGTGAAAAACTTAATCAGACAGACTGAAGTATCAAACAGAATTAAATTTTACACAAAGAGAGGTACTACAAGTGTTTTTCATGCAGGATTCAGACACAAAATTGCCTAACTAGCAACTATAATGCCTGACCTATTAAAAATCTCCTCCTGTGCCAGTGAGTTCCTAAGTCGCCAATGTGATACCTCAGATGATGCTGTATACTGGAAATGAGTTGTAGCAAAGAATGGAATTAATAGACATGTCCTATGGAAGACATGTCTTCCACAAGTTGTGGAAGATTTGTTATTGCTTATGTGATAGGAAGACATGCCTGGCTGCATTCTTTGAAGAATTAAACAAGCATGTGGATAAAGATTATTTGCTTTATATTGTGTACTTACGTTAAAAAAACTTCAACCAAAATTCTTAACAGAAGTTCCTACAAAAGTTCACTTGTCCTCAATTAGTAATTTATTAGAAGTCGAAGATGAGAGAAGATAATATTGAACAGCTGATACATTCTAGAGTAAAATCGAAAAATCCATTCTTTCACAGGCAAAGTAATGCACGTAGGAAAAAAATAATTCTAATATTACATACAAAGCAGTAGTCTCTAAATTCCCCAGTTCCTCTTTAGGATATGGGAGTCATTACAGTGCATTACAGTGCAAAAAGATAGGAGTTATTAGAGAAGGAACTCAGAAACAAATACAGTGTCATGACATTCCCTTATCTGGAGTGGTGGTGTACAACTCTGATCCAATCTCAAAACATACAGTAAAATAGAGAACATAACAAGAATGGTATTTATCAGTGGGGATTGCCATGGAGGCTGGAATTATAACTGGTCTAAGGAAGATATTGGACAATTTAAGAAAGACTATGTCCATTAATATTGATTGATGCTGATGGTGCGGATAAAACCTGTACCTCAGAAATCTGAACTCTGACTGATGATAGATGAGAGATTATACTAGGATATAGCTATATACAAAGATGTCCTGTTCTTAAACTCTGCTCATAGCATCTGCAACGGGTATTATCAAAGAGTGTGTACTGGGCTGAATGGATATTTATTCTGATTGATTATGGCCATTCTTACGATCTGTTATCCTCTCCATAGTGTTGACCCCAACGATCAGAAGAAAACAGCTTGTTATGACATAGATGTAGAGGTTGAAGACCCATTAAAGGGACAGATGAGTAGTTTTCTTCTTTCAACAGCCAATCAACAGGAGATTACAGCATTGGACAACAAGGTACTAGCCCAAGAGTAAAGGAGTTAAAGTATCAAATGGAATATTTATACATATGCACATACTCATTGTGTATTTACGTGTGGGTGTCAAAGGGAATAATATTGTGAGATATGTATATTCTTATTGAACATGTTTCAAGGAGTAAGTCAGTCAAATGTAATTGCAGTGCAGTGGGGTAAGTGGAATGCCACCCCAAGACATGATCTGGAGTGTTATTAAATTGCAAAGATGAAAGGTGGCAGAAGCAGAGTTTCCTCACAAGTAATGAGTAAGGAATTCCCTGACAGGGGACAGAATGTGCATCACAACCTAGGTGATACACGGTTTTAAACACTTCTAAACTAAGAGAGAAAGTAGTGTCATCCTAAGGTAGAACCTAAAATAAATCAAGAGAATGACAATATGAAAGTGCTTGTTTCACTACACCGACTCTTGAAAAAAAATCTAACCTGCTCCTTGTACATGAAGTTAAACCTGCCTCAACAGTAGCCATGAGAGATAAGTGCGAAATTAAAACAAGAGGGCTTCATAAGACAATGGAGCAAGAAATAGGAGCGTGCTAAGGAGGTGCAGTAAGTATAGAAACACAAGCATGTGGAAGAAAAATTAATACCGTAATTCAGGTTAGATGACAGAAGTCTTGACATACAGAAAATAATTTTAAATAAAACTTCTAAATTGGGAAATAGAAATAACTTGGTTTTGATTTATACTAAGCCAATAGGGAGAGGCAAAGAGAGAGTCTTTCAGCAACTTCCATCTGAGTATGAGGAAAAACTTCCTGGCTATGAGTGACAGAGCACTGGAACAGGCTGCCAGAGAACTGGTGGAGTCTCCTTCTCTGGAGATGTTCAAAACCTGCCTGGATACGATTTGGTGCAACGTGCTGTATGTGACCCTGCTTGTGCAGGGAAGTTGGACTAGATGATCTGCAGAGGTGTCTACCAACCTCAGCCCTCTGTGAGTCTGTGAGTGTGTGTGGTTAGGCTGAAAGGCAGCAGCCTTCTGGTGTGAGCAGAGAGCCAAGTAGACCACAGAGATTGGAAACAGCTGGGATAAGAACACTGGCACCGCTTTCTAGTAGGATAGGCAGGATGTTGATGTCTTTAAAGAAGAAAGAAGCTGAACTACTTAGGAGAATCTGAGCAAGTAGGTATTATAGGAACGTTGCATTCAGTCCTAGAATAATTTTATATCTCTTTTTTTTTTCCACTGTCTCTGTGTTCCAAATTCCTGTTTGTGCATGGACAAAAACTGTAACTTTCTACTCAAGATTGTTGCCAAAATTTAGGTATCTAAAGATTATCCTAGATGGAAATTTAATTAGTACAGTTAAAAGAGAATAGTGTGTAACAGAACTGAATAGATAGTAAATGTCTGCTTTAGGATGAGACAAACTGCAGTGTGATCTCCGCAATGACTATGTTGCCATGATCTCTTTGGACAATAATGGGAGCTTAGAAACATCATTACATGCCAAAAAATTTAGGTGGTGTTATAGTTATCTCAAAATAGTTTTATCCTAGATGATTTCCCCGGGTGAGTCTCTTCCATGCCATTTGCAGAAGTAAATTAATGCAGAATTCCTGCTTGCTATTTCCCTTTTGAATGCTTCCAAGGACCACATGAATTGTTTTATTGCGTTTTTTTATTTGGCAGCCATGGTATCTTGCTAAATTGCTATGAGAAAGAGCTAAGAGATATTCTGGATATATATCCTCATATTGATGCATACTGAAATACCTGAAGGATTAATATAGGGAGGAAGGGCCCAAGCTCTTCTCAGTGGTGGCCAGTGACAGGACAAGGGGCAGTGGGTACAAGCTGAAACACAGGCAGTTCCATCTCCATATGAGGAATAGCTTCTTTCTTGTGAGGGTGATAGAGCCCTGGAACAGGCTGCCCAGGGAGGCTGTGGAGTCTCCTTCCCTGGAGGTCTTCCAGACCCGCCTGGATGCCACCCTGTGCCCCATGCTCTGGGTCTCCCTGCTGGAGCAGGGGGTTGGACTAGATGTTCTCTAGAGATCTCTTCCAACCTCAACCATTCTGAGATTCTGTGTGATTGTGCATGCACTGTCACAGAAGATCTTATTGCAGTAGATGCAACTGCAAAAGCTGAAGAGCAGGAAAATCATTTGGAACAGTTCGGCAGACTTGTTTCCTGTGGTCCACCAATGAGAATCAGGTGTACTTGAACTGATCATATCTGTCTTACCACAATCATAAGCTCTGTAGAGTCTGTATTAGACAGTCTGTCAAAGGGACTGTCGGCGAACTGTGAGTAAATAAATAGAGTTTCTCAGAGTCAGGGAAAAGAGGTGTGACAATATATTTGAGTTGATTTTGTGACAGAATCAGCAAAGCTCCTGTTTGTTTACTCCTAACCCCACAAAAATATATATATTAAGCTGCAAACTTTGTAGTACATTAAAGGGAACTTGGATACCTGCATTGCTAAGGATACTGGTAATGTTTGAGGAGTCTGTTGTTTTACGGCTCTTGAGAAATGTTCTTCACAACAGCATTACTGCTCACCCAGTTTGTTCCCAGGCTGTATAGGCTTGCATGCAGCACATGTAGGCTTATTCCGCTCCTGATGCAGTGATATTCTCCTCTTCCCCATGCCTTTATCACCTTTCTTGAAGCATTTGCTACAGCAGATTTTAAGCTGTGTTTAGTGAAGTTACCGAGGTCATTTCTGGGCTCACAGGCATTGACTACTTCACTGCTGTCTGTACCATTTATAGTTATGCTGTCAGAGTCCTCTAGTGGAAACTTCATGCATGCCAACAAAGAAGGTTTTCTGCAGCATCCATACATCATTTTAACAAAAAAGCAATGATTTTAAGTTGACAGAAGCTGTCTTCTGCTAAAGTACCAGATTTTTTGTGTAGGCCAGTTGTGCCTATGATAGGGACTTTGTTGGCATAGCCAGATCAGAGGAGGATGATTTTTCACCCCATACTTGGCCACAGGTACAGAAGATTAAACAGAATGGTTTTATAATCTTAAACTAGAACTTTAGACAGAATATCAAAAATTTGCTTTTGTGTGTGTGTGTCAGTATGCCCTGTTGGCTTGTGGACTGTCCTTCCACTGATGATACTTGTTTCTGTTATCCTGAGTGATTAGAGGGCTTAGACCCTTCTTTGGAGTCTTCATTCTCATCCACTGGTTAATGTAAATTTTTTAAATAATATTTCTGAAGGAATGACTTTTTCTATAAAGCTTCCATACCTCTGATTGCTCATTGTTCCTACTCATCTTCTTGTATCAATCATGATAATTTCAATAGGCTTTCTTGCAAGAAAGAATCTAAATGTTTCTTGCTATTACAGAAGTTTATTTAATGTGAACTTACCAGGCAATCACAAGAACAAATTTTAAGGATCATGATAGGGTGACCAAAGTTATGATGTAGATTAACCACGGTAATAATTGCTTTCTTACACTGAAACTTGTTTAAAGATATATTTTCACAGCAACTTTCCAGGAAAATCCCAGATTTGGGAAGAAAAGACTGAGTGTACACAGCAAATACTTACATCAAACAGTGATATGAGTTAGCTCTCTAATACTGTTTTTTAGTATGCCATCCAGGAGTTCAGTGCAGTAAAGAAGAATCCAGTATATACTTAGTTGCAGAAATATGTGTGAAACAAAAATGTGACTGCAATATTGGAGTTAATTCCCTCCTTCAGAGAAAAGATGCCTTGGGATCATTTGTAAGTGTGGTATCCAATTGTTACCTTTGTATGTTACATGAAACTCAAGCTAACAGAACTCATGTCAGGGTCACTGAAGCATGGGATGAATTAAGTAATATCTGCCTTTTTTTTTTTTTTTTTTTTTTTCTGTCAGATTCATGAGACAATTGAATCCATAAATCAGTTAAAAATACAACGTGATTTCATGCTGAGTTTCTCAAAAGATCCCAAAGGATACATTCAGGACCTTCTCCGATCCCAAAGTAGGGATCTTAAGGTGAGCTAAAGTTTGAAGAAGAGTAGATGGTGGAATCAGCATGTTATATGGAATGTATAGCTAAAACAGCCATGATGGAAAATGGATAGAGGAAAGACAGTAAGTGTAACCCTGCAGTCCCAGAGCAGAAAGGATTCAGGAAAGACCCATCTGGCTGTGTTGCACTTACAGGGGAACAACAGTGCTTAAAGGGTTGCTGGGTGAATCAGTGGTTAGACAGTATGACTGGAGCACATGGCTATATTGATTTAGTAGGACTGTAAAATTCAAGCTCTATAGAACTCAGCAAGAGGATCCTGTATTACAACAACACAATCTAGGGCTTTTGACAGTTCACAATTTTAATCCTTTTTAAGAAACAGGCAGATTAAATATCAGCTGGTTTTGATTTTAGTGCCGAGATACCCAAGGACTGGAATGTAGGTAAATTCATTTTTTTTCAGCAAAAATGAAGATCTGTTTTCTCACAAAGTTTCACACTTTTAGTCTTTAATTCAGATACCTCAAAATCAGCTGTATTAATGATGCTATAATATTATTTTTTGTTGTATCATTCAAATATAAATACCTAGCTTGAGCTAATCATTAGTCTCCCAAAATTTTACTGTTAGAATTATGATCTCTAATTATTATTTAGATTATATTCAAAAGAAGGAGAGGAATCTGAAAGAATATTTAAATAAAGTGGCTTTCCGGTTGAAGAGCTTACAAATTAAGGTGTTCTGGAGCTTTTCTGGCTGCATATTTTCTGTTGTCTCTTGATCTCCCTGACTGACAGCCTGTCCCTCCAATCCTTTCCTACATTGTTTTGCCCTGCCGAATCAAACTTATGGTTGCAACACACTACTCTGAAGAGCATGCTGTTAATTTATATTTCCCCTTGATTTGCTGGTGGTGAGGACAGTTATTGGATTTTTTTATTTTTATTGATTGTTCAAATCTTGCTGTCTTGGCACTTGTTTAAAGCAGTTTGCATATATTTTGAGTCTAGGCAAATTTGAATGTTTTTCTGTGGTGTAGAAGAGTTATAGTGAAAAAATGCTTTTATATTTGTTGCAGGTGATGACTGATGTGGTTGGAAACCCAGAAGAAGAACGTAGAGCTGAATTTTATCACGAGCCATGGTCCCAAGAGGCTGTGAGCAGATATTTCTATTGCAAGGTAAAAAAGAATGAGCCACACCGCTGGCTTTTAAATAAACCTTTCTGCTACTGAGCAAGTGAATCTGCAGAACTGTACAGTTTCTCATTTTCTTTCAGATCCAGCAACGCCGTCAGGAGCTGGAACAGTCTCTGGGAGTGCGTAACACATAAGCCCTGCTCACGAGATCCCATTGGCATCTTGACCACAGAACTAGTGGACTTAATGAGTGTTACTTAGCTCACTGTTACACATGGACCTACTTCCTGACTGAATGAGCACGTGCCATCAGCATACCGGTCAGGACACCAGCTTTAGAGTGACCCTTGAAAATCCGGCCCATGGGGGTGTGTCTCAAACCACTCCAGGCCAGAGATAGCAGAAGATTTCTGTGCTCCATGCAGGTGTCAATATCAAAGAAGATTAAAGGTTCATTCATTACTTTTCATCATTAATTTTTAGTGGAAAGTTTAGACGCTACACAACTTGGGGCCATATTGGACTTTGCCATAGAGTCTAGGTGGTACGAGTCAGAGGGAGGTTGAGATGGGAGTTAAAGGACACTACAGATGTAGAAAAAGGCTATTCTCATCCCATGTTGTTTTAGTTGTTACCTAAGAGTGTCACATAGTAACTTCACTGGAGTTAGAAAAGATAGTCCTTCTTATAGCTGTGGAATGCTTTAATTCCCAAACAAGAGTTTCCATTCCAGACGGAGCAGTGGAAGAGACCATCTCGCCTTGTGAAAGAGCAACATAGGAGGTTTTTCATTCCTGAAATGAAGAACCTGTCTGAAAGACAGAATTGTAGTCTAGACATTTCTTCTGCAAATGCTTAACACTCCTTCTTTCCCCTGCCCCTGCAGTGAAAGATGAACTGAAATACATATCACCAGACAGTCTGGATATTCTTGAGTGTGATCAATGTGCCATATCGAGAAGAGGAGGTTTGTCCCCAGGGTAAGAGCCTCTTAGGCATCCTCAATCTCCCCAGGGTTAACAAAGCTGAGGTTGAAGCAAAAATGAGACATTCTGAAAACTGAAAGTAACTTAATGGTGCTTTGTTGATATCTGCCTTGAGCACAGCAAATATTTACAATAGGCATATAAGTAAAACAGAAGATTATTAAATTTTACTCTCGGTGCATGCCATTAGGGATCAGCACTGAGAAGAATTTCCTTAATTGTAACTTGATGCAGAGTCTAAGCGGTACAACTTCATATAACGATGTTCTCTTTCCTTCAGGGCATTAGGAGACTCCCTAGATTGGCCTCACATTCTGATCATAGGTGAACTGCCTCTTCCCATGAATTATTAAGTTGTCCGTACTTCATATTTACTGTTTTTGTAGGATGCAGTTGAATTATAAAGCACAGTCAGCATTCAATAGCATGGATGAAGCATCCTTTGGAAGCAGTCTTTGTAAATGTACAGCAAATTCAGACTGTGGAAATTGCACTGTATTTACTTGGAAGCAGTGACATCTGCACCCAACTCCCCAAGTTTTTAAATTCATAGATTAGCTTGTAATTAATGACCCAGTGTGATTTTTAGTTCAAAAAGCAGCTGCCAAAGTATAGCTTTGTGTTCTTGAAGATGCAATCTAGAAGAGGATTTTGATGCTACACCTTTCTTTCACTTTCATGGAAACAGACTAAGTTTGTATGGGGTGAAGGGAGGAGGCTCTTCTGAGTAATATGCTTTGCTGTAATATTGTACTTCTCTACTGTCTTTGCCAATTTCATAGTTGAATGAAAAGATTTCTTCTGTCCGGTCACAAAGTTTTCCCTCTTTCTTTAATGCCTCTGCTTCCATATTAGCAGTGCTGTAGTTTTCTCTCTGTTCACTTTCACTGTGTTCAGAAAAAATCTTGAAAATTTTACACTTTATGGCAGTACCATCATGCACATCCATTTGTGTAGGAAAAAAGCACAGCTGTACTCTTGGCCCTGAGCATTGAGGCCTTTTACTAGGAATGGCTTGGTCTGGATTTTTTTGTGTGTGTGTGTTGAAATGCTTTCTTATGTTTAAACATGAAATCCTTCAGCCTTAAAGCTGAGTCTAGTAAGGGACTGTGAGGTTGCCAGACAGTAAGTGTCATTCAGACCTTCTTTAATTTAAGAGTCCATTAACTGGACTACAAGCAAGCATCACGAAGGAAACCAGTGGGGGTCACCTGCTGCTGTGCTTCCATAGTTATTACACTGCTGCCTCAGTTGTGTGCATGCTGTCCAGTGTATAAATCTCTTTCTGTTTGTGGCAAACGGAGCAACTACAGTCAGGGGATGAATTCAGTCTCCAGGAATAAGAAATGCAGAATAATATATGTAGGGATGTGAGATGGGTGTAGGTCTGGAATAGATGTCTGCAGGATGTCTGCTGGGAAAATTTATTTTTAGGGACTTTCCCATTCAAGTGGCACATACTTGTGTGGAGAAATTTCAGTCATGTGCCACAGCTGGCAAGACTGTGGAGCCCAGTCTGCTTTAAGAACCTATCTGTAAAATTGATTGGATGAGTCTCTTTATTGAATTGAGACTTGTGTAGTGTAGCTGTCCAGTGAGCGTGGAAGATAAATCTCTGTTAAGCATCAGTGTCACTACAATGTGTGCGTGTGCGCGCGCGCATGCGTGCCAGTCGGCCCGTATAGGTCGTGCCAAATACGCCAAGACAAAATCTAAATTCTTATCCCACTATGTGCCTGCATGTGTGTGTGTGAGAGACTGCATGTGTGTGAGAGAGACTGCATGAGTGCATGCTTGTGTGCGTGTGCCTAAACGTGTGTGTGTGTGCACAAGCATGTGCCCTTCTGCCAGTGGAGATGGTAGCAGATAGGCCAAGACAAAATCTAAATTTGATCTCACTATTCCTACTGCAATTAAAAAGGCCATTTCCTAGTGATGAGTCTTAGAAATAGCTGCCAGGTGTCTTTCCTTCAGTGAGACTGGCTTTGATATTTTGATTCTTTTTTTCCTGTGTTCAGAGAAAGAGAGAGATTTTGTCCTGCACTCCAGGATGCAACTAGGAGCTTGTCAGTTTGACAAAACAATAAGAGAAAATGTATGTAAAGTGAAACAGTGAAGCAATACTAGTAGAATTGGACCAAATACTGCTTAGGCATGCAAAAAAATGAAAGGTAATGGTACTGAATGAGCATGTAATTGTGGCAAATTTGGAATGCTAAATTCATGTTAAGATGATTGTGGGCTTGTGTGTGTGTGTGTGTGTGTGTGTGTGTGTTTAAAAGAAGCCAGGAAGATTGTTAAAGTCTTCAGTTTCTGAAGGTCCACACTACAGTGCAAATCTGCATATACTGCAGCAAAGTGTTCTGGTCATAAAAGCAGTTAACAATATATAAAAAATATAGATAATCACAGAATCACAGAAACATGGAATGGTTAAGGTTGGAAGGGACCTCTAGAGAACATCTAGTCCAACCCCTCTGATCATTGTTAGAAAATACGGCATAAAACCAGGAGAGGGCTAAAGCAAAAATCCTGAAGCACCAATAGAAAGGAGATGCATCTTGGAACTGATGTGTTCACATGGCAGATTTGAAGCAGTTCTTCATCTTTAGTGCTGCTGGCTGTGAGTCAGGATTAGTACCAAGTGCTTTCTAGAAATTAAAGGGAAAATAATGTTTTATTATGGAAGGACAATGCCTGTCTAGAGAGAAAAATACATCAATGGAGAAAAAAAAATGGAGCAGAGCCACTGAATTGCTGTTAAGCTGCAGCACAGGACAATGTGCACAGTGCTGCTGGAAACAGCAGAGTCCACAGGATGCAGTATAGTGTGTGTATGCATGTATGTGTGCATGTATGCATGTGTGTTTGCATGTATGTGCATGTGTGTCTATGTGTGCATACATGTGTGTATGCATATGTGTGTGTGTATGCGTGTGTGCATGCATGTGTGTGTGCACACACATGTGAATATAGAGCAGGAATGAGCAGGCCCTGCTTGGATGGCTGGTAGAGTCTGGGAATTTGGCTCGCAGGCAGAGCCAGGTGCTCTGTAGGTGACTGTGCAGGTGACATCACCAAACATCTCCCTCCACTGTGGGCAGAGATTCAGCCACTCCACTGAGCGCTGGTGGCCCTGAGGCTAAGCACGTTTCAGCTGACAGCTCACTTGACACTTCCTTCTTAGAGCTTGTCCCGCTGAAGCCGAGAGAAAATACTGATATTCAGATCAATACTCATCCACATATTAGGCTCCTACTTTTGCCAGGATTGTTGTCAGGTGCTGGAGGTATTTTGCCTGCTTTTTTTGTGCTGGAAATCCTTCCACAGTCAGGACAAAGAGACAGGAGATGAAATGAAAGTTTATTTTCTTCTCCTGAAGAGAGAATTCTCTTTTCTGTAATTGCTCTGTTTTTTAATAGGATATGTCTGTTCTGCAAGATCCTGTACAATAAACTCCCTTTCCAATCTCATTTAAGAGAGGAACCCCGTTTAAAAAAAAAAAAGCAAAACACAACTTTGGGTTTGTGAGAGTGAGAGAAAAAATGTACAAGTGTGAGCGAGGAGGTGCGAGACCCCTCCACTCTGTAGTCACTGTATCTTTGTTGTACGATGATGAGTGATTCATAGAAAAACTTTTAACAATAAATACTATGTTTCTTTTTATCTTTTTTGCTTACCTTACATCTAGCTCCGCAAAGAAAATTCCCACATTTCCTGTATGTAAAAGTAATGCTGTAGGAGTTCTTTTTTTTTCATACATTTCTGCTACAGGAATTCATATGTAAGGGCTAGAAAGAGCTTGTTTTCTACATAAAACTGCTTAGAGAGCTGAGGATTAAAAGTCAAGCCAGGGCTAATGCTGAAGAAATAATTAGACCAGTCAATCATAAGAAATTGATGAAAGAGATTATAATCTTGGAACTCAGATACCATAATCAGGATTAATTTGGAACAGCTGGTTTCTTTCTGACAACAATGCTAATATTCTCCAGGTTTCAGATGTTAGATTACCTATGTCTTACACACATCCGACCTTTGATGGGCCTTGACAGAGGTGGGAACAGTTGCCCTACAGGTCCAGTTTACCTGTGTTCATGTCTTCACTGGACTCCAAAAGTTAGAGTTTCACCCTCTTCAACCATATTCCATAGGGAACAAGTTTAAGTGTTGAAGACAGGAAGTCTCTGTAACTTTGGAAAGGTCTGGTTCCCACGCTTGGTAATTTGGTTTGTGTTTATTTTTATTACTATTACTATTTATGGTCAATAAAAAAATGCAGCGAGGGCTGGAGTTTGGCTGCTGCAAGGAGGCAGGATGAAGCTGTGCAAACACTTTGCCGTTCCCAGCAAAGGTTCTGTGCAAACAGCTGCCAAAACTGGAAAGAATTGACAGTGCCCAAGCTGGAGTCCACCACCCAACAGAAAGGACTTTTCTCTGGGTTATGGTTAAGGTTTCTTAGCCCAAGAGGCCATCAGGAAAGAACAAGGTATGGGTGCCGAGGGGAGAGCATGAAAGAGGAGAGGAAGACCCAGCCGTTTTCAGTGTACAACTGAGCAGTGTGGCGAAGTGGAAAATGGATGCAGTAACCCTTACTTGAACAAGCTTCCTAAAAATTCCCTTATGTCTATATAATTATCCAACCATGAGGAAGGAGAGGGGTGTATTTAGAGGGTTGCCAATGAAATCTTAGCTATTGAGACAAAAGTTAATTTTGCTTATGAAGGTCTGCACACTTCCTACTGTGGGCAGGAAAAGCAAATATTCGTAATGGCAATTGCCTCTGGGGAAGTAAGAACAGCCCCACGTGTGGGGCTGTAAGTCAACCCTGACTCAGGTCTGTCATTCAGGCCCTAGCACTTCACCTCCCCAGCTGATGATGGTGGTGGGATGTGGAGAATGGTGATCAGGACTTATCCTTGATATTATAAGGATGATCATGGTGGACTTGCATGAGATGCAGCTAGGGCTGAGGGTCATGGCCGTCTTTATTGAAGATGAGGAGGTAGCAGTCTCGGGATCTTGTGTTAACCTCTCTCCGTGGTCTTTGTGGTGACTGCCCAGACATGAACTGGATGTGAGGGGTTTTGTCTGGCCTGCAAACATCTTTGGGGCACTTAGGCATATTATGGAGGTCTCAGCCCTTTTGTGCAGCCCAGGCTAACAGCTACTGACAATGCACAGCTACTTCCTAGAGCAAGTTGGGTCTGGGGTACTGTCTTCCCTCACCCCAAAATTCTCACTGTGATGGGAGCTCTTCCATTTATACATAAATGCCCAAAGTCTCTGGGAATTGTGTGTGTGTTTGGGGGCAAAACTAAGGCATTTAGGAAGTCACAGTTTTATTTGAGATGTGTTTTTGTAGGAGTGGATGCTGGGGGAGGGAGGTGGGGTTCCTTTGCCTTGTGCCTGATACCCCTATTACTGTGAGCGTGACGGTAAGTTTTACTCTTGAAATTTCTTGCTTTGCTTTAAGGCCTATCCATTTGCTCTCTGCTCCCCGGGACTTGGAAATCTGGAGTGCGCAGGGTCTGCCTGGTGTCATCTTTCTGTCTCCCTCGCTGGGCTGTTCCCAGGCACTTCAGTTCTTCTATGCCAACTCCCAGAGTGCTAAACATTACCTGGATATCTATTTAGCTATCTCCATCCCTGGCGAGATGGGTGTCATAGCAAGTGGTGGGTAACATTGTCTGTGGGGTCTTCTTGGAGTCCAGAAGTCTTCTTGACACTGTCTCCCATAACATCCTCATACGGAAGCTCCAGGACAGTGGACTAGACGAGTGCACGGTGCGGTGGATCGAGGGCTGGCTGGATGGCAGAGCTCAGAGGGTGGTGATAAATGGGGCCGAGTCCAGCTGGAGGCCTGTGGCCAGTGGTGTCCCCCAGGGGTCAGTGCTGGGCCCAGTGCTGTTCAACTTGTTTATCAATGACCTGGACGAGGGCACGGAGTGCACCCTGAGCAAGTTTGCGGATGACACCAAGCTGGGTGGAGTGGCCGACACTCCGGAGGGCTGTGCTGCCATCCAGAGGGACCTGGACAGGCTGGAGAGCTGGGCAGAGAGGAACCTCATGAGGTTCAATAAGGACAAGGGCAGGGTCCTGCACCTGGGGAGGAATAACCCCAGGCATCAGTACAGATTAGGGGTCGACCTGCTGGAAAGCACCTCCACGGAGAGGGACCTGGGAGTCCTGGTTGACACTAAGTTAACCATGAGTGAGCAGTGTGCCCTCGTGGCCAAGAAGGCCAATGGGATCCTGGCCTGCATCAGGAGGAGCGTTGCCAGCAGGTCAAGGGAGGTGATTCTGCCCCTCTGCTCAGCTCTGGTGAGGCCGCACCTGGAGTACTGTGTTCAGTTCTGGGCATCCCAGTATAGGAAGGACGTGGAGCTTCTGGAGAGGGTCCAGAGAAGGGCAACCAGGATGATTAAGGGAATGGAACATCTCTCGTATGAAGAGAGGCTGAGCGAGC